ACACACACTCACACACGCGCGCGCACGCAGCAAGGACACTCTTGCGCAGACAAACACACAGTCATCAGTGTAGATGTCGTAACAAAGTCCTAAGTTTGCGTCTTTTAAAAAAGATAAAATTTATGATCCGAGAAAAGTAAAAGCAGCTGGGGATACTCCTGCCAAAACTGGGTCATCATCACTCAGATAACGATTGTCGTGGCGACGCTGTTAGACAGTCGGTTCTGGTGACGTCATCGTTCCTGTGTGCTGTCACAAACGGATGCTTCAAAACCTGGGCGGCTGAGTAACGGGCTTGGGGGTCAACGACCAGGAGGTTCCGGATCAAATCCACGACTCTGTCAGACAAGGACCCACGAGTGTTTGTAGGGATGGAATAGTTGCCGCTGCAGATCTTCGGGAACATGTCTTTGTCGCAGTCCCGACAACTGAGGTCCGTTGTTTGCTCGTGCTTAGCACAGTGGCCGACAAAGGGCAGACAGTCGAAGAGCATTTCGTAGATGAGAACTCCCAGCCCCCACATGTCGCAGCGGGTGTCGTAGGGCGCTGTTCTCCTCTGTGACGGGGGTAACAGGAAACCGGCGACCTCTGGTGCCATGTATTGCGGGCAGCCAACGACTGACGTGAGTGCAGGCTTGGTTAATTTGTTCCCTTCGGAGAGGTTACGACGTATAGGGAGTTCACTCGCTAGGCCTAAGTCGCAAAGGACGAGTGGGGTAACCTTCCCTGGGGTGCGGCACAAAATGTTCTCTGGTTTTAGGTCTCTGTGCGCTACACCGTCGGTGTGGAGTGTAAGGAGCGCTCGGGCGACGGCGCCGGTCACTCGTGAAGCCTGGGACTCGCTCAGCAGATACGGAGTTGATGACATCATGTCTCTCAGATCACCTCCAGCCATTTTGTCGAACATCAGGAAAAACGTATCTCCCGCCCTATAAAAGTCCACGAAATGGAGGATGTTTTCAGAGTTCCTGTAGCGCTGACAAGTCTCGATCTCACTCAGTACTCTACGAAGTTTTTTATTCCGACAGTTCTTCATGACTTTGACAGCGAATTCCTTCCCTGTTTCCTTGTTTCTGTATGTGGAGACAGAGCCAAAGCACCCGGTGCCCAGCTCTTCTCCCGTAGGCTCGAACAACGAACAGAAAATGTCACCATTCGATTGTTGTTTTCGTTTCCTCAAATCGATAGGGAATGCTGTAGTGCTCGCACAGTCAGCGCCCGTGTTGTTTGTAGTTGTAGTAGAAGGCATGACGTGACACGAGGCTACAGCTGTTTTGGGTGCAGGGAACACAGCGCCAGTACAGGCCTCAGACGTGATGCGTCGTTTGCTGTCTCCGTGATTTTCTTGATGTCTCCGTTTTCTTGAATCAGAAGGCAGTGTTCCCTCTAAGGCCAAATCCTTATCTGTCTTAGCTGTATGATGCGCTGTGCCATTGCTGGCTACGTTCGTATTCGTTGTTTGAAGTACTCCTCCGGTACGAGCCTTGATCGTTGTTTGAAGCTGTCTGCCATTGCAGCTTGTGTCTGGGTTTGATGGACGGAAAACACTGCCAGTGCTCCTGCCAGAGTCCTGGGACTGTTCCCCTGAGCCGTCGAGCTGTCTCGGACTAAACGCCAAAGACTCCATGACTGGTGACGATCCAGAAACCCGCAACGTGGTGGGAGACGAAGATTTGACCCACGACTGGGACAAACGGCGACGAAAATGAGGGAGAATACAAGGCACGAAGATAAACAGGCAAGGTGCTTGTCGTGTTGACGTCGTGCTCAAAATTCGAGACAAAAGTCAAACCAAAATCACTCAACGATGTATGTTTCTGAACACCAAATGTTCAAAACGCTCAAAATTTCACAACAGGCAACAAGCATACGATGTGCGCTCTACGCTGTCCAACCTGTAGACTGACGCTATCTGCGACTGGCTGACCGGTCCAGTCTTTGTGCTGGGTAGTTTCAAAATTTCCTTTCTCTTAATCCACTTGATTCTGTTTTGTGTCCGCTTTATGAAAGGGAGGGGAGGAGAAAGGGAGGAGGAGGCGAAGAGGGGGTGGGGGGTGAACGAGGAGGGAACTAATCATTCGCCTTTGTTCATTAAAAAAATTGTACCCCTCGTTTCAAGTCCCCAAAAATATCCGAGAAGCGTATTACGTCATCATTGTTAAAATTTGATTGTTACGCTTTCGCACCTCGCCACACGCCTCTACCCAGTCTCACTGCCCGGGGCGGAGATAATGAAATAACGCCATCTCGTCTTAAACCTTTCCCCGTCAGGTGTAATAACGCTATATCGTCTTAATCCTTAACCCTTTCCTTGTCAGGCCCGACACTCATGGATCTCAGTTATGCTTTGTTGTTTTGTTGTTTCTTTTTAAAGTATGAGTGAGTTTTACAGCACTTGTAATACAGTTAGGTTGTATAGTGCCCAAGATTAGAGGTGTTACAAGAGAGTAATCAACACAAAAAGAAGGACGATAAATGTTTGAGAGGAAAGATGGAGCAAACCATACCAGAGCACCCGCCAACCAGAAATTGATATAATATAATTACACTTCCGTAGGGTTTATCAAGAGACAGGGCAACCTAAAAGTTGGCTTTGATGGAGAAAGTGGGCTCTTTCTGGAAAAGAATTGACACATCTCCGAGCAGACTGGAAATAATATAATAAAAACTAGTTGGATGTTATGGCGAGTTAATGGGACAAATCCTCCGTGAAGACAAAAATGATCTAGCGAGGTAGTTTGTTACACCAGAGGGTGTGGACACATCCACCATGTTCCTGACTAAAGAAAAACAAACAAAACAAAATATAATAAAATAAAACGTTTCCTCTCGATATCCCCACCCTCTTCACACCCCACCCCCCTCCCAAACCCCTGTCCTGTAACTTTTGAGGGTAGTCAATTGTGGCGGTCGAACAATAGCAGAAAAGAAGGGAGTGTGGTGGGGTGGGGGGGGAGGTCTGGGTTTGGTGTGGGTGAACTTTTTCGGGAACAGTCTCCGTGTCG